CCTACCCCTTTTGTTGTCTGCTTTTTTAATCTGCTGTATTTTTCTAAATTATTACAGAGTCGATTTCTTCTTTTCTTTTCATTTTTTAAATTATTATTCTGAAGAGTGGTGACTTTTTGGCACTAGGGATTGGAATTGAAAGTCAAAAAGAATAACAAATTGAAAATTAGGATAGGGAAATGGCGCGCTTCATGATGCCGGCCTTACTTGCCGCTGGATTTGCCGGAATGGTGCTGGCGCTAAGTTTTGTCCTGCATAATTCACAGGCCCATTTCTTATGGGTTGGAGGTTTTGTTTCCTTGGGTGAGGCGTTGATGCTCGTGGCGCAAGTTCCGGAACACACAAAAAGCATTTACAAATGTAGTTTTTTAAAGTGCTTTTATGGAGTTTTAAGGGGTACCCTCAAAGCTTGTATTATTGCTTCCTTGTTGTTCAGTTTAAAAGAACTAGGGCCCATTCTCGCAATATTGTTTTATTCTGCTTTTGTACTAGAATTTAACTACCTGCGAACCAATAACTTGAGTCATATGAAGTTTTGGCTTGTATTTGCTGCACTCAGCATACTTCTTCTGTACTTGGGACTTTTTATTAAGAGGAATGGAGATGTTTATCAAGCTACTGTTGCTTTCGCTGAATTAGGTGTCTTTTTGCTTTTGGCGCATTTCTATGAGGGTAATTGGTCAAGAAGGAGTAGTTCTTGGGAGAGAGTTTTTGAGCAGGTCGTTGCTTCTGTAGAATTGTCGATTTTCGGTTGGCTCTTTTCTTCAAGCGAGAGAGTTCTTGGTTTTTCAACTTTATGGCTTTTGTTTCCTGTACTTTCAGTTATCTCGGGATGCGGCAAAGTAATTTATGAATCAAGAATTGGAGCCGCGACTGTGCCTTTTTGTAGGAATGAGGTTTTGGCGGTGCTCTTGGGAGGTTGTTTTGTGAGTTTGATTTTTGGGGCGCGTGGCGCGGGTGATTTTATTGTTATGATGAGTAATTTTGTACTTCTGATTTGTTCTATGAAGGCTGTGCATTGTAGTAATGCATTTTCCTCATTAGAGCCTTCATCTTTTTTATCAACAACACAGAAATGTGGTTTAACACCTCTTGTCAATGCGTTTTTCTTTTTTTTTCAAGTGAGCGAGAGAGAAAGTTGGGTTATTTTTTCCTCCTTACTGTAGCTGTAATGATACTTGAATTTCTTTATGGAATTTCTGCTAATTCTTTGGGGTTAGTTTCGGATTCTTTCCATATGTTATTGGACTCGGTATCAATCGCAGTTGGTTTGTTTGCAGAGTTTGCTTCATCCTTACCCGGTGACAAAAAGACACATCCATTTGGTTATGCTCGGTATAGAGTCTTGGGGGGATTTATTAATGCGGTACTTTTACTATTCATAGCATTGTTTGTTGTTATTGAGTCAATTGAACGACTACTGTGTCCTCCTGACATTAACGCTGCCTACCTAATGCATATAGCTGTTGTTGGTCTGGTTGTAAATATTATTGGTGTCGCGTTTTTTCACGACGCGGATGGTCACTCGCATTCCCATGGCGAATGTTCTTGCTCAGTGGACCACAATTTGAGAGGAATTTATTTGCATATACTGGCAGATCTGGTTGGCAGTATAAATGTTGTGATATCAAGTATATTCTTGTGTTTAAAAGGTTGGAAAATTGCTGATCCACTATGCAGTCTAGTGAGTTGTTTGTTTATATCTGTTTCAGCCTTTCCTCTTTTAGAAGAGACAGGGAAGATACTTCTTTTGTCTGGACACCCGTATGATCAAGAGACATTTTTTCAAAAAGCTATTGCTGGTATTAAGGGCATAGCAGATGTTACTTCGGTAGAAAGCATTTCTGCATGGCCTCACTCAACTACGCCTAATGAATCAGCATATTGTGCAGTAAAGTTGTCTGCGCGTGCTCAAGCCGATCACAACCAGGTACGTATCTCTGTGAGACAATTTATGAAAGGATTTTTTAGAGCAGAAACTGGCTCATCTCATTTGAATGTAATTGTGCACATAGAATAGTTCTTGGAAGAAACGAGAAGAAAGATGGATAAAGAGGAAGAAAAGTCATGTGTAATCGGAAATCCTTTTTTTTTCTTCTGTTACGGCATAGTAATTAAATAGCTGGACTACTATTTACTTCGTCGGAACACATTTTTTTTTACCCTTTCCCGTTTGGAATTAAATTCACCAGGAAGAAGAACAATTGAAAAAAAAAAGAAAATAAAAAAAATGAAATTGATATTGAATTAAATGAATGCCTATTCCGAGTATTTACTTGCATGAAACTGAATTGATCTTGCTGAGATTAACAAAGCGAAGACAACATAACGAAAGTGAAAACATTATATATGTATATATAACAATAATAATAATAATAATAATAATAATAATGTTTTCCCTTTTCCTCTCCCTCTTTTGTCTTGTATGGATACATATTTTAGGGATTAAGTTGAAGCCAGAAATAAGCCACAATATATAACAATGCTTTTTGCAAATCAGGCACAGCAAGTGCTTCGGGAGGGAGCCTCGGAGGAGAAAGGGGAGCGGGCGCGGTTGATGAACATCATGGGTGCCATTTCTGTTGCGGATATCGTAAAAACGACGTTGGGTCCCAAAGGCATGGATAAAATTCTTCAAGGTATGGATCGCACTCAAAGTGTTCGTGTAACCAACGACGGAGCCACTATTCTCAAGTCGCTTTTTATGGATAATCCTGCTGGAAAGATCCTAATTGACATGAGCAAAACCCAGGATGATGAAGTTGGTGACGGTACAACCAGTGTAACTGTACTTGCTGGTGAACTTCTTCGCAATGCTGAAAAGCTTCTTGATCAGTCTATCCACCCACAAACTATTATTGAAGGTTACCGCCTTGCTACTCAGGTGGCTCGCGGGGCTCTTGTTGCTTCAGCTGAAGATCACAGTAACGATGCAAAGATGTTCTACGATGATCTTTTGCGCATTGCGACAACGACGTTGAGTTCCAAAATTATTACGGTTGAAAAGGAACATTTTGCCAAACTTTGTGTGGATGCTGTGTTGCGGTTGAAAGGAAGTGGGAACCTTGAGATGATTAACATTATGAAGAAACTTGGAGGAACCCTCGCTGACAGCTATCTTGAACCCGGATTCTTGTTGGATAAGAAAATTGGCATTGGTCAACCTCGCTACCTTGAAAACGCAAAGATATTGGTTGCCAATACCCCCATGGATACTGATAAAATTAAGATATTTGGAGCCAAGGTTCGGGTTGATAGTGTAGCGCAGCTTGCAGAAGTGGAGGCCTCGGAAAAGGAAAAGATGAAAAACAAATGCATGAAAATTATTAAACATGACATTCATTGTTTCATCAACCGCCAGCTAATTTATAATTATCCAGAGGAAATTTTTGCCCAGCATGGTATTATGGCTATTGAACATGCAGACTTTGAAGGAATTGAACGACTTGCCAAAGCCCTTGGTGCTGATGTGCTTTCTCAATTTGACGAAACAGAAAATGTAAAATATGGATTTGCACAAAAGATTGATGAGGTCATGATTGGGGAGAGTACAGTTATTCGTTTTTCTGGACTTCCCCAGGGTGAGGCATGCACTATTGTTGTTCGTGGCACATCAAGGCATATTTTGGATGAAGCAGAACGCTCTATACATGATGCACTTTGTGTTATTTCACAAACGATCAATGAAACCCGGACAGTACTGGGAGCAGGATGCTCAGAATTTGTGATGGCACGAGCTGTAGAGGAAACGGCTAAAGCGACACCGGGTAAGAAACAGCTTGCAATGCTCGCCTTTGCCAACGCCCTTCGCACTCTACCAGCTATCATTGCCGATAATGCCGGTCTAGACAGTAATGATCTGGTTACCCGTTTACAAGCGGAACATTACCACGGCCATAATACCTTTGGCATTGATGTTGTCAAGGGCGACGTGGCGGATGTGAAGGCGCTCGGTATCACGGAATCTTTCAAGGTAAAGAATTCGGTATTGGGCTATGCTGCGGAGGCCGCAGAAATGATTCTTCGTGTGGATGACGTCCTTCGGGCTGTCCCACGCAAGCGAACTCAGTAGAGACGAATCCTTCCCTTTTGGCTATTTCCTTTTATAACACGAACAATAACCCAATTGTTTCATGAGAAGAAGTCAGAATTCGTTTTTACGACGGCAGAGGCCTCTTGGTCGTTTAGTTTTATTTTATTTTCATTTCCTTTTTAAGACACCGTAAGCTTTTGTTATTGAAAGATAGATACGAAGGAGGGGGGGGGGAAAAAAAAAGTCGGTAGACGGCAAAACAAACAGGCGAAGAGGAACATGCGAGTTCATGTTCATTTATGATACTCTACTCTTTTTTTTTTGCCTCCTTCTTTACCTCGTCATGCATCTTTATTTCATGTGGGATGCACAACATAATTTATATTTCCTTGTATGTATGTATGTAATGTATGCCTGCACATATATATGTGTGTTTGCGTTTGTGTTTTTGTGTGGCAGAGGATCGCGGTCACTTTGAATCTTTTGTTGTTGTTTGTCGATGTTAGGGTAAAAAAAAAAAGCTCGAAACGAAAAGCTACGAAAAGGGGCAGTGAAGGCACCGGTAGCAGTGGAAGCGAAAAACAAACTAATTCAAGAGTAGCTTTTTCTCTGGAGAAAATGAGCGCCAAATACAGTGCATCGGAGAAAGTTTCCGGAGCACAGAAAAAGGAGACTGCGGTGCCTGCCAATGTCAATTCCGATATTACGAAGGTAAAGATATGTTCTGGCCATACGAGGCCCATTTGCCACATTAACTACAGCGAGATCATTGATGGAACGTTTTGGTTTGTTACTTCTTGCCACGATGCCAAACCTATGCTGCGCAATGGCGAGACGGGTGACTGGGTTGGCACCTTTGAGGGCCATAAAGGTGCGGTGTACTGTTCCGTCTTCAACAAGGAAGCGACTCGGTTGGTGACCGGGAGTGGTGATTATTCGTCAGTGATATGGAATGCAATTACTGGAGAAAAGCTGCACACGTGGAGCCATCCGAAATACATAAAATCCTGTGACTGGATGGAAAACAAAATTGCTACAGGATGTTTCGATGGTCTCGTCCGCATTTTTGACGCCAATGATTACAATGCAGAGCCACTTAGCTTTGACATTCCAGAAAAAATCAATCAGGTGAAATCAACGTACTTTATTGACCCCACCACCATGGTAACGGCAAGCGAAACTGTCATTATGAAATGGGACCTTCGTGATACATCTCGCCCCTACCTACGGAAGGAGATCCGGGACCTTAATTTTCTCGAGTACACTCATCGCAATTGCATTGTCGCAGCCCATGATAAGAGTATTTCCTTCATTGACACCATCTCGTTAGAAATTAAAAGCTCCTTCACTACCAACGAAGACGTGAAATGTGCATCTCTCTCGCCTAATGGGCAGAATGTGGCTGCTGGCTCGAAGCTAAAGGCAAAGGAGTTCACACTAGACGGTGCTGAGCTAGAATCTCACAGAGGTCATCACGGACCTATCTTCCACATTCGTTGGGCACCGGATGGAAAGTCCTTCACCTCGGGTGCAGAGGATGGCATGGCACGCATCTGGCCTTCACATGACATCATTCAGACATACGATGGCGAGAATTAAGGGTGCTTTGCAGTCACCAAAACAAAGGGAAAACAACAAAGAGAAAAAAAAGGAAAAGAACCAATCCATAACGAAGGAAAGAAAAACCACAACCACAAGGATTTGGATGCCTTCACTTGACGTGTCTCTCACGCCCAGGAAAACATTATTGCAACAAACATAGGGGGCGAAAACACACAGGTAAGGAATATTCTCGTACACACTCCAAATGATTCAGGCTCGGGGTGCGTGTTATAGTCATTGTATGCGCAACAACTCATACACACAATTTACTTGTGTTAAACATGCTCACTCCTTCTCCGCATGATGTTGCCTCGGACACAAGGAAAGAGAAACAAAGCTTACCCCAACAGAGACAAATGTCGGACACTGCTGCTACCGCTGTGGCTGTTGCTTCGCCCGTGAAGAAGACTTCACCCAGGAAGGCCTCCCCGAAGAAGGCTGCGGCGGCGAGGAAGCCAGCTGCCAAGAAGCCAGCAGCTAAGAACGCTGCGAGGAAGCCAGCTGCCAAGAAGCCAGCAGCCAAGAAGCCAGCTGCTAAGAAGGCTGCAGCCAAGAAGCCAGCAGCCAGGAAGCCGGCAGCCAAGAAGCCAGCTGCCAAGAAGGCTGTTAAGAAGCCCGTGGCAAAGAAGGCGGCGAGGAAGGCGCCGAGGAAGGCCGTGAAGAAGGCCCCAAAGAAGAAGTAGAGCCCGCCTCTTGTCTGGCTTTTCGGCCCTGCGAGTTGCCT